CTTCTTTTAAAAACAAACCACTTGTTTTAAATATCTTACATTGGACTGGATTTTTGTATATTGTTTACAATTTTGTATTTGACTCACCAAAATAGGATAAATAATGAATTTTTTGTCTGAATTTGTTAAATGTTAATGGACTGGACATTGTTAATTCATATAATGGAGTTTTTTGTCTGAATCTGTCAAATGTTAATGGACTAGACTAGACATTGTTAATGTAATTCTTGACTATATTTATTGTATATATTTTATCTTATATTAGTTAAAAAGCTTCTTTTATTTATTTAATTAATGAATTAATTAATTTGGTTTTTTGAGACAGGGTTTCTCTGTGTAGCTTTCTGCCTTTCCTAGAACTCACTTGGTAGCCGAGGCTGGCCTCGAACTCACAGAGATCCGCCTGGCTCTGCCTCCCAAGTGCTGGGATTAAAGGCATGCGCCACCACCGCCCGGCAAGCTTCTTTTATTATTTAGACCAAAAGGGGGCAAATGTAGTGATACTGTGTCCCCTAATCTATTGTGCACCCTAATAAACTTATCTAGGGTCAGAGAACAGAACAGCCACTAGACAGACATAGAGGCCAGAAAAATGGTGGCACACTCGCCTTTAACCCTCGCATTCTGGAGGCAGAGATCCATCCAGATGAGGGCTCAGAGGCTTCCAGTTTGAGGAAACAAGATTGGCTGAGAAGTTGGCGAGGTGAGGTTAGCTGTGGCTTGTTCTGTCTCTCTCATCTTTCAGTGTTCACCCCAATACCTGCCTCCGGGTTTGTTTTTATTAATAAGACCTTTTAAGATTCAGGTTACACTAGGGTGCTTGTGTTTAATCATACAATAATAGTTCACAATAAGGAGGGTTTGAAAGTATAAGAAGAGATCTATGCTACTACACATGTGGGGCAGTCAGCTATTCTGAACTTCACAATAGAGACAATCCCAGCAGAACACACTTCCTGGGCTGAGGTGCTGAAGGGAAATTAGACATTTGTATATCTATCATCTATCAATATATCTATCATCCATCTACCTACCTATCTATCTAACTAGCTGTTTGTTTGTCTAAATCTGTATATGTATATACACAAAAATTCTTATATATTCATATTTATATTTTGATATGTTTATGCAAGTAGAAGTATAAAACATTATGGTAAAGACTATAATTCTTTAAAGTGTATTTCATGTGCTCTCATTAAAACTTCATATGTTTCTAATGGGTCTAATAAACACTGAGATCAAACTCTATTTGGCATTTCCTAGAGTCATTCACTCAACATAAGTTAGAAAATACAATGTACTTACATGAAAAAAATTACCTGTTGAGATCTAAGTCTGAGTAAATATATATATATATATATATATATATATATATATATATATATATATATGAGCTTAATCTCAGAATGGTGAATAAGAACTCTGAAGAACTCTAAAACTATAAAGACTAAAAATGTGTATACAGTCAGAAAAGAATAGGGCCCATTAAGACACTAGGAACATTCACATATGTATACAAAGAATAGCACCCATTTCATATGATATAATACCATCACTAGTTATTTGGAAACACAAAGTTTTATAACATATACAGTTATATGCAAACTCTGAATATGTATAAATGTTAAGGAGAAAAGATCTTGGTTTGGATTAGATTTATTAAGTAAATACATATAAATATGTAAGAGATCTACACAGACTGGAAAGTTTCAAGTGCTGATCGTGTGTGCACTTACTTCTCTTACCCTCTTGCTGTACTGTATTTATTTTGAGAATAAAGGAAAGAAAGAAAGGAAGGAAGGAAGGAAGGAAGAAAGGAAGGAAGAAAGGAAGGAAGAAAG